GGAAGAGAAATAGGAATTTGTTTTCAATGTAACCCATAGTACTGGATGAAAAGTATGACCCTGGTGGGTGAAGACTACTCTGCCTTGATACACTTCCTGGGCCCTTTCTTTTTTAATAAATACATACATATATATTATATTATAAATAAATTACACAGTTGACTTTCCCACATTTGGGGACATCACAGGGTTCAGCACAACTGGAATGCAATGAATAAACCTCACTCTGGTGTAGCTGGAGAGTTTCTCTCCAGCTCCCACCAAGTCCTGGCAGTCCTGCAGCCCACTTATAAAATAAACACACAGACTCTTATATTATTTAAACTGTTTGGCCTAATGGCTAAGGCTTCTAGCTATCTAGTTCTTACATCTTAAATTAACCCATTTCTATAAATCTATACCTTGCCACATGGCTCGTGGCTTACCAGTATCTTACATGTTGATACTCATGGCGGTGGCTGGCAGTGTCTCTTGACTCAGCCTTCCTGTTTCCAGAATTCTCTTCTCTGCTTGTCCCATCTATAGTTCCTGTCTGGCTACTGGCCAATCAGCATTTTATTTATACAGAGCCATAACCACAGCACCCTGGGGATACCATCTTATAATCATGGTATCACTCCTGCCATTCCTGGACCGTATCCATACTTTAATCAAGAGAAGTTCAGAGTCACGATCAGATTTGAAGTCCAGGATTAGGCTACATTAGAACTCCAAAAGATTTGTCCTCCGGTAGAAGTGGCTGAACCCTTTCCCCACTATCTTAATATTTGGACTTATGACAGAAGAAATACATACATGAAATACTTTTAAGAAATATAAGTACAGGTCATATATCCTTTTAAACACTGAAACTTCTTGAATCTTTGTACAGTTTGGGGAAGAACCTTCCCAAGGTGTCAAAGCATCTAATTAGAGGTCCACATGGAGTTTAGAGGAAACAAACATTTTGCCTCTCTCTTGCAATAGATTTTTGTTCTTAGGAACACTGAAGGAAGAGACTGGTGGTCTAGGTGGGTAGTGAATTATCTGGGGGCCTGTGAGCTGATACTAAAATATGGCTATACAGCCCCTTAACCAAACTGTGTTTCCACAATGGGAGCTCTAGTAGACAGAAAAAACTAGACCAACAGAGAAACTGCCTCGTAAAATAGTAGTCCTGTAGTTTCAATCACAGTGAGTGTCTTTTTTAAATAATATTTTTATTTCATGTGCATTTTTAAATGTGTTTTTCCTGCACGTACATCTGTAAAGGTGTCAGATTCCCTGGAACTGAAGTTACAGACAATTGTGAGCTGCCATATGGGTATTGGCATTGAACCCGGGTCCTCTGGAAGAGCAATCACTGCTCCCAACCACTGTGCCATCTCTTACCTGACATGATAGTGGTTCCATTTTCAACATTTAATTCTTGTTTGTGGTGTAGGCTGGGAGGACTATGATGGTTAATCTGACTACAGTGACTGCTGTTACAACAGCATCCCCATAGGTTTGAAAATAATTGTACAAGTGTGTGCTAGATACTTCTAGTTACTAGAGAGGATGGCAATTTTGCCACTCCATTTAAGAAAGTCCTCTTGGTAGGAGAAAGTAACAACAGAGTGTCCTTCTCAGTGCTATGGTGGTGGTAGTGGGGGATGGTCTTGAAACATTGCTCTAAAATAGAAATCTTACTTCCTGTTTTGTTTCTTGAGTGCTATCACTCCTAAAACTGACTCATTAACTGTAGACTTGAGGTAATTAAGATCAGAAGCAAACTGATAAGAAATTAAACCAGTATGCATAATGCAGATATATAAAGAGGATGGTATTACCAGAATTCTAGGAAGCAGGCTAATCAAGTTTCAATCAGAAACTCATCACTGGGAGAGAAAATTAATTCAGAATGGGAGGGAGGGAGGGAGGAAAAGCACACCCAGAATTTTCAAATCTGTCTCCACAAATCTTTTCTTTGGAGGGCAGCAGCAAATCCTGAAATTCCTCCCCTGCACAAAGTGTTGCCATGCTATAGTCACTGCTGAAAGTTTTCTCATCGTCTGCTGCCGAGATGCTGCTGTTGTACATGCCTCAAAGATGTTCCAAATGCTGCTCAAACCAACACTGCTTGGAACCTAACAATTCGAATCGAAAACACAATGAGGTAATAAGTAAAGGCATTTCCCAGCAGGTGTGCCCAAACGCTTGACGTAAAAGAACACTGTCATCTACAAAGTTCATGCTTGAGAGCCATGCAATTGATTTTAAAAGATTGGAAAAAAAAAAAAAAAACCTCACCTCATAATGCTTTAAGGAAGTTGATGATTTTGTGTTGGGCCTCCTGCATGGGTATCTTTGCTGTATGTGATTGGACACACCTGTGGTCTAGAGCGTGGCTCTGCAAAAACCTCACCATCTTAGCACAACAGGGACCTCATCTGCCAGGGTTTGTTGTATACCAGGACAGAAGGGGTTAAAAGTCTCTGGATGTGCACTTATATACCAAGTTTTGCTGCTATGAAGGATCTTTTCCTGAAAAAGAGAACTGCTGAGAACGTTATTCACTTAATTAAAATGTATAATTGGCATGTCTGAGTGCTTTTTCAGTTGCAAAGACATTCACACAATATATATCCCCTTAGTTTATAGTTAGATATGAGAAGTCCTGGTACTCTATTGCACGGATGACTACAGATGGTGACATAGGGAAATGACAACTGTTTGAGGAGACAGACCTGCTTATTCTAAGATGAACATTACACAAGGGATACATACATTAAAATGCCACACACCTCCCCATAAGTATCTATAAGATTTTGTCTCACTATGCATCCCTGGCTACTCTGGGACTAGCTATGTAGACCAGAGCTTGCCATCACCTTGAGTGCTGAGATTAAAGACGTGTCCCAACACATTCGGTGGTCTGTATAACTTTTGTTACTTAGAAAAAACTCATCTTCTGTAAGAGGGAGACAGAGAAATATGGTCACAGAGGAATATCTACTCCCATCACCTCATTCCTAGTCTTTTTATAAAAATCATATTTTTATTGAAAATAAATCTGTTTTCATACAATATATTCTGATCACAGATTCTTTTCCACAACTACCTCCCAGATCCTCCCCATCTCCCCAACCTTCCAACTCCATTCCCTTTCTTTCTTTCTCTTTAGAAAAAAACAGGCCAACAAACAAAAACAGAATTAAAAAAGAACACAAGAAACACACACACAAACACACACACACACACAACCAGAACCTATAAAAACACAAAATTGGAAGCCATAATATACAAGCAAAAACAGTAAGACGAAAACAAAATACCCAAACAAAGCAATATAAGACAAAAATATCTCCCAAAATACCACTGAGCTTGTTTTGCATTGGTCATGTACAGAGCAGAGGTGGGGGTTAGTGAGAGGGTGTGGCCGCTCCTCCCTCACCCTGCTGCACCTGGAAGGCCTTACCCAGAACGGATGAGGGCTTCCCCTTAACTGCATATATGGAGCCCTGCTTTAGTCTTCTCCCAAACACATACACAAGGTGTGAGTATAGATATATACACCCATACTCTAGTCCCTCCCCCAGGCCACAAGCGAAGTTGCCAGTTTCTAGGGAGCAGTTGCATACTCAGTTGCTGCTGGAGGCGGGGGTGCAAACTGTCAACAAGCCCAGCTTGTTTTTCCAAGGGGCACAGCTGACTGTGCCGAGATGGTAGCTTCTTGGCATAGAGGAGTCAGTTGCCCTAGGCCCCAAAATTAAAAAAAAAAATACCATATGATCCTTCTGAGAATGTAGCCAAAATAAATAAAATCAAGATGTTCAAAAGACAACTGCGCTTCCATGTTCCTTACAATAGCATTCCCAACAGCCACAATAGGGAAAGAATCCAAATGAATAAAGAAAACATAGTATATACATGCAATGGAATATTAAACAACTTCCAAAGAAGGAAACTGCTATTTCTATCAACACAAATAAATCTGGAGGACATTATATTAATGAAAATAAGACAGACACAGAAGAACAAATACTTAGTATCTGTACTTACATGAGGTATCTAAAATAAACTCACAGACACAGACAGTGTCGTCAATGGCTAGGGGGCAAACCATTGTCGCTAGATGGGTATGAAAGTTCAACTTTGTACTGTGGAAATTCTAGAGATCTGCTACACAACATAGTGCATAAATTTGCTAAAAGGGTATTATGAACTTTAAGAGTGTAGTTTTCATGTTGTGTTCTTCCAAAAAAGAAAAATAAGTCATAAAAATGAAACACAATGAAGCTTTTTGAGGTGTGGCATCTTGCTTGTGGTGATAATATCATGAGTGTTTGCAAATGTCTAAACTCATTAAACTGTCCACATTTAATATGTGTGTTTTGTGCAGCAATTATACTTTAATAAAGCTATTTTTAAAAGACATCCTATAGCTAGATCTTTGCAAACTGAAAAGACACCTTCAGAAGCAAAGGAATTATTTAAAAACAACCCATATCTAGCTCATGTTCTCCAAAGACCCCTATCAACGTGTGTTTTTTTTTCCAATCACAGAAGCAATTCATTTTGATTATATAAACATATAATGTTTAGATAATGTTCACAAAAAGCTAAAGTCATCTTCATATTTTATATTTATGGATCACCATAATACTCATGTTTATCTAGAATTTACGTATATATATGATACATAAATGTCATATATTTATCATATATATATCACATTTGTCTTTGTGTCATATACAACAACTGAGACAATTCAGCAGAATCTTAGTAGCAGTACCCAGCAGCATGGCTTCAATAAACTGAGCAAATTCTTGCACAAAATCAGTGTTTTCATGGACAGCTGTTGTATTGTAAGGCTCAATCTTAGCATTCTTAAATTTTTCATGCTATGGCAGGAATTTCAATCTTACATTAAAAATATATAATCACAACAAATCATTTTCAAATTTGTCTTTCAAATGGGCCTTAAATTTTAAAAGAAGTCATTTAAGGACTATAGAAGAAATAAAATGCAAGAAAAATTGAAAAAAATTAATTTATTATATGAAGAAACATAAACAATATTTGAGCCAGTGACTCAGAGAAGCAGTCCACAAAAGTTCATATCCACAATTCATTAGCTGAGATGTACTGGCACATACAACCATACTAAATGTGGTAAGAGAGATCCCAAGGAAATGCTGCGTTGTCAAGACAATTAATGCTAATGCTTATTTTCCCATTTACTACAATGAACAGATTACATTCACATTTAATTAATGCTTTGAACAAGCCATTCAAGTTGTACTGTACAATCATCAAAAGATTCTTTATGAAATATATCAAGACAATAAACTTCTTTCCCATCAGAAGCACTTTCTCAGATCCACTGGGTCTTCTTTTTTTCTGCCAAGTACTAAGGGCTTGGGGCTATTTTTAAAATATTTATTGCATTTATTTATTTATTTATTTATTTATTTATTTATTTATTTATTTATTTATTTATTGTGTGTGTGTGTGTGTGTGTGTGTGTGTGTGTGTGTGTGTGTGTGTGTGTGTAAGAGAGAGAGAGAGAGATTCTCTGTGTGTACAACAGGGTGTGCTTGTGGAAATCCGACAACAACTTGTAGAAACTGTTTCTCTCCTTCCACCGTGTAGATCCCAAGGATGGAACTCAGGGTGTTGCGTTTGGCAGAAGGCAACTTTCCCTGCTGAGCCATCTCACATGCCCTGAGCACTAAATTTTGTAATCAACTGATGGTAAGAGAGGGTAATTGCAGAGAAGACCAAAGAACTATATGTTCACTCAAGACACTGATGTGGATGAAACTACTTATTTCGTTTCAGACAGTAAATAACAAAACAAAACACAAACAATAACCTGTTTATGGTCTTGAATACTATAACAACTCTTTAAAAGGTATTTTGAAAATATTTTAAAAATATTTTTGTATCTATTACTTAATGAAATCTTTCCAACAGGTTTGTGAGGTAAGTTGGTCAAGTGTATCATCTTAATTTGGTGAGTGAGGAAGCTGAGACATAGAGTAATTAAGTAAGCTCCTGGGAAAATGCCTATATGCCAAGAGACTGAAATAATATCTAATTTGCTAAAAAAGAAAAATCAGTCTTTATAAAGTTTGAATTGGGCCTTCCATGCCTGACAGTTTATCACTGTTAGTTTTGTTTGAGGTCATTCAAGATGTTTACCAACTGTCTAAAGTAAAGGGGCTTACAATATATTTGAAAATTAAGAGTTTAAAAATATTTTGGGTCATGTTTCCAAAGCAGGCTGGGAAAATACAAGTGTTCTTACCCTTGTCTAATTCTGAATCTGCCTAGTAAGTGACAAGCTGGTAGTTGACTCTAGTCTCAGTCCCAAGGCAGAACCTGAAATTGGAAAACAGTATCACCACCTCTACCCCCAGTCACTGCGAATCTTCAAGGAAAGATGGTCTTTCACTTGAAAGAGTGAAAACATGTGGTGTCTGTAAACAGAATGAAGGAAATTTTGGAATGACGTAGGAACAGATTGCCTACTCTATTATTCATTCTGAACACTTTAAATTATGAAATAACCAAAACAAGAGTGCCTTAACATCTTAGCTTTGGTTTACCTGTAGTTGTTATATATTTTCAAAGACATTTCCCCCTGTATTACAGTTTTGTAGCTCTTAATATGTTAATATACAAAGTACAGAGAAATATCTATTGTATAAAGTATCATTTTGATGATGTATGCTAACTTTATCTAGTCCTATTAAAAATAGGAAAAGTGGTATGTGGGTCAACAGAGAACAGACAACCTTAAGTTTCATTTTTATATGTTAAAAGTAGTCAAAATGGATGTACTGCCTGTGGATTCTCATAAAATTAAAGTATAAATACTGACAAACCAGGTGTATTACAAATGAGGAAAAATACCTCCTGAAAGTAAAATGGCCATCCCACAGTTTAGGACCTTACTGCATATGCATAATAAAATGGTATAAATATTAACAGTGTGAATGACATGTCAAAGAATATTTACTGTTTTACGAAGCCTCTAGTATAGTGAAATTTATTTACCAAATTAATTCTCATGTTTATGAAATTACTCATCAATTTGATACCAAAGAGTTAAAAAGCAAATTATTACTAGTATAATAGCCAGATAAATGAGTTTTACTAATTTATGTGGCCAGAAAAGTAAATGCCTGCTCTATCTCATAGAAGCCATAAACAGAGGTACCTTTGCAAATTTCTTCAATTTTGCTACAACTCTCATTTTAAATTGGTGTAAACGTTATGGTCATCTGTTTCTAGACATTTCATTATCCAAATTTTAGTGCTAGAAATAATAGTACTGGTTACAGGTATTTTCATCAGACTAGTGATAATATTCTACCCGACCCTTTTAAAGGAAAATAAAAATAAATAGTTGCAGATTAAAGAGAAATTTCACAGCAGATAAAAATGAAGATCTTATTAAAATGAACTCATAATTACATCAAGTCAAAATGCATTTCATGAAGAACATCCGTTCATCTCACTACTTTCTCTAACTTAAAACGTTTCTAATAGGGGTGGTAACGAGGGGAAACACTTCTTTCTTCAAATCATGAAAACTAAGATGTCCTATATGCTTGAATTGGGGAAAAGATTTCTATAGGGTTTTCTAGAAACAACAGCAAACAAACTAAGCTCAATTTTGTTAAAAAAACAAAACAAAACAAAACAAAACTTCCTGGCAGATGAGGAAGAAGGTGATAGGAATGAAAACTATTAGTTTTATTTTCTTCTTCCTTAAAATATTAATTTTAGCAAACTCTTCTAGAAATTTCCCAGAATTATAGGACAGGACTGAGTTATAAGGAGAATTGAGCCTACCTTCTAACCAATTCATATCTTCAGACATTTGGAGAAGTTAACAGTTTTATCTGTATACACTCCCGTCATTTTGATGGTCTAACAACTGTTCCAGTCCATCCTGATCCCTAATTTCGTCAACATATGGAATGAAACTCAGCTTTCCTAAATAACTGTGCCAACAGCTCCTCGGGAATAAAGTCCCCACACCTAGGCCCTTGAAACCGATGAAGATTGCATGCCAGAGTGGCTACAGCTGGTTATGCACAAAAAGTCTTAATGAGGTGAAAATGAAACACACTGATAAAACAAACTCAAACAGCTCTCCCTGTACGCTATGATAAGAATGAGGTTGTAAAATCCCTAGCAACCTATTCCAACTATCACGGTGACCTTTGTATAAAAGCTATATTCGCCGGGCGGTGGTGGCGCACGCCTTTAATCCCAGCACTCGGGAGGCAGAGCCAGGCGGATCTCTGTGAATTCGAGGCCAGCCTGGGCTACCAAGTGAGTTCCAGGAAAAGGCGCAAAGCTACACAGAGAAACCCTGTCTCGAAAAACCAAAAAAAAAAAAATAAATAAATAAAAAAAGCTATATTCAGTAGTAGTAAAGCATCAGGCTACGGGGACAACAGTGTAGAAAACAAGCATTTCTCTTCATTATATCCGATGAATATGACCAGCTCAACTGAAACTTCAGGAGTACTGTGTCAATGAAATGGCCAGTAAGGCCTCTGCAAGAACCTAACACAGTCAACTGTGAAACAAACTGTGGGGTCGTAGGCTTGCTTCCCTAGTGCTCTCCACAGCTGGCTCAAAGCAAAGAGCTCGAGAAAAGGCAGCAGCTCACAAGGCGTTGACAGCTCATTTCCTGCCTTATTCCCTGTGCAGGGCTCATTACTTGTATGAAGAATAGTTATTAACCCAGAACACAATATCCCTTTCTCGTAAGAAGCCCCAGGTTCCATTAAGCAGAGCACAGATCAACAGCACTCCACGTCTCAGTGGGCTCAGGACTTAACATACTGGTAGAAGGTGTTACATCTTGATTATGTTCTTGGTCTTGATCCGTGTGTGACTTTAAGTCCGTGTCTGCCTTTACTACTATCTCAGTGGATTTTCTTCTCACCCGGGACCAGCAGACACACCTGAGACATGACCTAAAGCTCTCAGAAACACTGGAAGAGAAGAGCTTTTTGCAAGGGTGGAAAAACTGATAGAACACAAGCATGAAAAGAATGCCCGTGCAGTACGCAATCAGCAGCTGCAGAATCAACAGAGGCGCACACACATACATGTATATGTCAGTTTTGAAAAAATACCACAGGAGCAGGAGGACAGAGTTCTCGATGAATCTCATCATGTAGTAAATCAGCAGCCTGTACCAATTCTGAGATTTACTGATGAGGTCAGGACTGTCGATTTTGAGCTGTACAGCTGACCAGCAGAACATGTTGATACCAGCGTAGAGTAACGTGAAGAAGCATAGTACGATGGTGGTACCCACCCTGCTCAGGGCCTTCTCAATGTTCTCGGGGAATGGGGAACCACTGTACCAGAAAAGGATCCAAGGGTATAAGAAGAAGCTGAAGAAGTTGACAAGTATGACTGCCACCACCCAGATCTTCAGGACAGAGGTAAAGAGGACCAGGACGATGACCCGAGTGGCAATCTCAAAGCTTCTCCATAGGAAGATACAGATATAGGCCAGGGGTTTGACTTTGACCTCATACTCATCATACTTGATTTTGATGGCTAAGATGTTGCAACGTAAGGCTCCATACACAATGGACAACAGGGACAAGGTCATGATGACGCCTGAAGAGAGAAGAGAAAGAGCACTGTCAAATCTCACCTCCACCAGGAATCCTATGGCCAATGTTCTGCCATCTCCCATGCACAGGAATGAATTCCTCTGTATTACATATGCAGGCTACCTTCCACCTGTTGATATCGGAGACTGCCTGAGGACTTTTTTCCAGAATTACAGAAGGCTGCTGTACATACATTCCTGTTAGGCTGAAGCACAAGGGAATTAAGATCCACGGGTGAACCCCTCAATAACTCAGGTCTAGCCCCAGTAAGAGCTAGTTTCCTCACCTTCTCTGTAGAATAAGTGTGAAGAATGTGTTCTATGCTTTATCCCATAGGCTTTCACTTGCAGTCACCTACTGTGATTTTTGTCTCATCCCCTTCCAAGCCTCATGCTTGTTACACATTCCCTTCAAATGCATGCCTCAACGCCTCAGGGTTTGCTTCAGAGGCGACTCAGACTTCAACTCATTCCTGATGCCAATCTCGGTCAATGAGAATATGAAGAGCCCTTTGCATAATGTGTTCTGTTTTGTCAGTTGGTCTAGCAGCTTCTGTAGAGTCAAGACTGTGTCTAGCATTTCCTCTTCCCATCTTAAACATACTTATTTTATTTTATTTGTATGTATGCCTGTTTGGTGGTTCCAACAGAGGCCAGAAGGAGGCATCAGATCCTAGGAAGGTGGACTTGTAGGTACTCAAAAGCCACCTGATGAGGGCGATGGGATCTGAACTCTGGTTCTCTAATAGAGCAGTAAGTGTTTTTAACTGCTGAGCCCTACCTCCAGCCCCTGCTATATCCTCTTGATGTCCCTCAGCACATTCCAGCAGTAGGCACACAAACAGAAGGCACTCAATAATAAATTACTCAAGATGCCTGCTCTACCGTAGACTGTTTTAGATGCTGACTATAGGAGTGCGGTTGTTCTCATTCTTAAAATGCTGAAAAAGGGACAAATCTTGCTTCTTACTAAGAGTCAACCTGCCTTGAACTGAAAAGTTTTAACATTCAGAGATGTCTCAATTCTAGGTGTTTATTTCTCAAAATGGCTTATGGAAAATGGGTGGATCCAGTACTTATAAACAGTGGCAGTTTGAGGACACAGGATGTGGCCTATTTCAATGGAGCATCGGATAATGTTTCAGATTAGTATACAGTGAGCCTTGAGTTCTATTATCTAATAAATATACAACCACTTAGAGTTATAGGTACAGAGTGTGGTTAAAACAGAAATACAATCACTTACTACAGGATGCTACTACCTGCACCCATTAGCATGAAGAGGAATAGAAGAAGGGCTATGAATTAGGAACCACGAGTCTGGCTCTTGGTTTGACTTTTGCCAGTGTAAGTGATATGGCAAAAGTCAAACCAAGAGCCAGACTCGTGGCTCCTAATTCATAGCCCTACTTCCATGTTGATTCTTCTTTTTAAAAAACTGTCTTAAGCTGGGCGGTGGTGGCACACGCCTTTAATCCCAGCACTCGGGAGGCAGAGGCAGTTGGATCTCTGTGAGTTCAAGGTCAGCCTGGGTTACAGAGTGAGTTCCAGGAAAGCCGCAAAGCTGCACAGAAAAACCCTGTCTTGAAAAACCAAAAAATAAAAAAATAAAAATAAAAAAATAAAAGACTGTCTTAACGTATTTTTATTTATTTTACAGCAGCTCTAGGTTCATAGCAAAATTGAACAGAACCCACACACATGCCCAGTCTTAATCATTAGCTTTATCATCCAGCACAGTAGTGTATTCACCATAATTGATAAACCCATATAGACACATCACTATCACTGAAAGTGTAGTTTATATAAGGCTTTACTCTTGTACATCCTACAGATTTGGGTAAATATATAATACATGTGTCAGACTGCCCTAAAAATCATCAGTTCTCTGTACAGCCATCCTTCCATCCTCTGAACTGATCTTTTTACTGTCTTCATAGTTTTCATGTTTTCCAGAAAGTCATATGATTGGAATCACATATTATGTGAGCCTTTCAGATTAGTTTCTTTCACTAAATTTTAGTTATGTTTTTACACTATATAGATATCAAGTGAGCTTGACAGCTCACTTATTTTTAGTGAAGAATAATATTTCATGCTAGTTTATTCACTTATCAACTGAAGCATATTTTGGTTGTTTCTAAGTCATTGCAATTATGAATACTGATGCTACAAATACCCACATGCAGGCTTTTGTGTGGACATTAACTTTTCAACTCCTTTGGAAGGAATACAAATGTAGTGATTGCTGAGTCACATGGTAAAAATATTTTGAGTTTGTATGAGATCTTCCACGGTGGGGATCTCATTTTGCATTTCCACCAACAATGAATGAGGATGCATCTCTTTCTCTGTATCCCCACCAGCATTTGGGGTTGTCAATGTTCTGGATTTTAACTAGTATACTTAAAGTGTACCATATAGTATCTTGGCACATAAAACTTTAATTGAAGCCGGGCGGTGGTGGCGCACGCCTTTAATCCCAGCACTAGGGAGGCAGAGCCAGGAAGATCTCTGTGAGTTCGAGGCCAGCCTGGGCTACCAAGTGAGTTCCAGGAAAAGGCGCAAAGCTACACAGAGAAACCCTGTCTCGAAAAACCAAAAAAAAAAAAAAAAACCTTTAACTGAAAGAAAACTGAAATTATCAATTCTTTTTTTGTGATATTACACATACAAACCCATCACCAAACCTCAGACCCTTGAGATTCTCCCATACTATCTTCCAGCACTTATACCATTTCATTCTTTACATTTAGGTTTGTTATCGATATTGAGTTCATCTCTATAAAGAGTGAAAGGTCTGTGTTTAGTCACATTTTGCATTTATTCTACGGGGTATATGCAGTTATTCTAGCACTAATCATTGAAAACATTTTCCTATTGTATAGTCTTTGCTCTTTGTTTGAAGATCAAATAATGTAGACTCTAAGGGGATCTATTTCTGGATAACATATTCTGTTCAATTGATCTATTTTTCTACTCTTTTGCCAATATTATACCACCTTAAGTACAATAGCTTTATCCATACCTGCCTCTTAAAATGCACATCATTTATTTCCACACATTACTAAAAATATCTCTATCGCCGGGCGGTGGTGGCGCACGCCTTTAATCCCAGCACTCGGGAGGCAGAGCCAGGCGGATCTCTGTGAGTTCGAGGCCAGCCTGGACTACCAAGTGAGTTCCAGGAAAGGCGCAAAGCTACACAGAGAAACCCTGTCTCGAAAAACCAAAAAAAAAAAAAAAAAAAAATCTCTATCTAAATGATACATAAAGGAAGGTAGTGAGATTTCTCAATAGGTAAGGATGCATACCCCTAAGCGTGACAATGTGAATTTTATTCCTGGGACCCACATAGCTGAAGGAAAGAACCAACTTTGTCCAAGTTGTCCTCTAACCTACATATACACATCACAGCATGCATGTGAATATACACATTCACACAAAAATTAAGTAAAATGATACATGAGAAGTAAGCTTTCTCCTTAAAGTCTGAGTCAATTGAAAAACTTACATATTTGATGAACCTAAAGACTCATATGCCTTGGTTTTTAATTTGCCCAAGGGAAGCTTAATTTTACTGAAAGTTATCAACTTTACTCACAGTTTTTGACACTGATTTTAGTTATCATTATCATTCCCTGAAAGACTGGCATCTACTAACAACATCTAAAAACTATAAACATCATAATCATGTAGACTAGGAAGTAATTAGACTGAATTGTTTTTCTTGAGAGGCTAATTCAGTGAACACTGTAATGCAGAATATTCATGTGGTAGTTTTTATATGTGTGATTATAGATGCTCACATCCTAAGGATCTAGTTTTGAAGCCTTTTCTTTTAGTACTTACATTTTTTCCACTACAAAAAAATACTATATATGCAAAAAATTAGTCATGTATAGTTAGAATGTAAATTATACAATCATTCGTATAGTTATTTATGTTAAATTTATGATATTTTAATCTGAAAATATGCATTGCATTAAACAAGATGAGAATTCTAATAATTTTCAGAATCCACTCAATTTTTTTCTTGCAAAGTCAACTATTTCCAAATAATATCCTTTTCTCCATCAAGAGAATTGAGCAATTATTACCCAGTTGGTGCTAAGTAATCAAGCACAGAATTATGAAAATGCAAAGCAATTATCTTTATATCATATACTTCAATCACACAACTCTAACTAGTAGATGCTTATTGTAAAATGTCATAGAAATTGGGCCAAGAAAGGTGATACCCTAAGGCAGTGGTTCTCAACCTTCCTAATGTTGCAACCCCTGAATACAATTCCTCATGATGTGGTGACGCATAAAATTATTTTCATTGCTATTTTATAACTGTAATTTTGCTGCTGTTATGAATCATAATGTAAGTATCTGTGTTTTCCCATGCTCTTAGGCAACCCCTGTCAAAGGGTCATTCAACTGCAAAGGGGTCGCAACCCACAGGTTGAGAACCACTGCCCTAAGGAAACAAAAAACTTACACAAAATGCTTGTGATAGATATTTCTGCCTCTAGAGGCAAGCTGTTATCTAGGAAATTAGTAGGATGATGCTCATGTAAATACACACATATCAACAAGGAGAAAAGTACATGACAGGCAGATGTTGTCGAATATTTGTGTAACCTGTGTAAAGATGTTTTACTGTGATTGGTTGAGCTGAATGGCCAATAGCTAGGCAGGAGAGAATAGTCAGGATTTCTGGGGAGAGAGGGAAGAAGAAAGGCCAAGACACCAGGAAGACACGAAACAAGTCAGACATACAGCACAGAGGAGACACATGATAGACGGTAGGTTGTTAGAAGCAGGTGAACTTGAATTACAAGTGCTAGTTGGGGACAAGCCTAAGCTAAGATCAAGCTTTCATAATTAATAATAAATCTCCATGCCATTATTTGGGGGCTGGCAATCCAAAGCTAGTCCATCGAGAAAGCTTGCTACAGGCAGAAATAGTGGAACCCTGAACTTTGACAAAGAATCTTCTCCATCTCCCTAGTGA